GCTAGGCTGAGAAGAGCTGAGTGGATTAAACCTAAGACCTTTTTTTTCCCTCAGAAGTTGTCCTCCATTTGGTTGCACATCCAAATCAACTGAGGAACTTAATGTACTGATCCTAGACCCCACCCTCGGAGACTGATTTATTTGGTCCAGGGTATAACTCTATCCATTGCTAGATTTTTGTTGTTTTATTTTTATTTGTTCGTTAGACCTTCTTAAGTATTTCTAATGTATAGCCAAAGTTGAAAACCATTGACCAAAAAAAACCCACTTTTCCTAGAGAGGTAAGTGATATTTACCTGGAGAGAGAATTCACTAATGATATGACTAACGGCTCTGCTCTGCAGCCCAAGCTAACAAACATTAGTACAGACACTTGAGTACAGACACGAGGAGCATGTACAAACAAGCATCTCCCAAATACAAAGGTGAAACATAAACAGAAAACTAATGTCTAAATAACAACTCATAACTCAAACACTAAGATGAATTTCTATAAACTACATACAATTTAACTTACACGTGGTGATTGAATCCATTACACAATTACAGAAGAAACAAAGAGTTCTAAGAATGGCTGTTACTAAAATACCTAGGAAATTTTCATTGGGCACGATTCCTAAGTTCATAGTAAACTCAGGCCTAGGTATCCAATGACTCCACATCCATAAATTTAACCAACTGAAGACCAAAAATATTTGGCAAAAACAATGCACCTGTGCTAAACATGTATAGACTTTTTCTTTTCATCATTCCCTAAATACAGCATAACCATTATTTCAGTAGTATTTACATTGTGTGGGTATTATAAGCAACCTAGTGATGACTTAAAAGAGGTAGTACATGAGTTATACACAAACACTATATTAATGACTGAACATTCTCAGATTTTGCTATCATAGTATGCGGTAGGGGGAGGGGGTGGGAAGCCATGTTCTCGAACCAGTGTCCTTCAGATTCAGGGAGGTGTGTGATATGACCACCTAAGAAACTAGTCCCACTTATATTCACGTCTTATTTTAGTTTACTTCTCCTATCTAGTAATCATTTTGGCTATGCTTCTTGAACTTTAATGTGCCCACAGCTCTTAAGGATCTAGTAAATGTATAGAAATTTTCAGTAGGTCTGAGATGGACTGACATCCTGTCTAACAAGCCTCTACATACTGTCAGCCCAAAACAAGAGCACTGAGCATCCACGTCTTAGAGAGCTGTTAGGAGCACAATGAAGTAAGTACATAAAGTACTTGGTACAGCCAGGCTATGGCTCATGACAGTAAATCTAGCTAGTCAGGAGGCTGAGATCTGAGGAGCATGGTTCAAAATTAACTGGGCAGAAAAGTCTGTGAGACTCTTACCTTCAACAGAGAAAAACTACTTTGTAAGTGGAGGTACGATTCAAGTTGTAGAGTACCAGCTTTGGGCAAAAAAACCAGGCAAGAGTTTGAGGTCCTGTGTTCAAGACCCAGTTCGAGCCAATAATGAATGAATAAATATATAAAACAAAGTGTTTACTATAGGCATGAGTAGTACCATAGAAAAGAAGGACCCTAGGAGAGAGATGATAAAATATAATTTAAAACTATTCTTTAAACAATTTATTTAAAACAATTCTTTCTTTTCCAGATGTGGAAACAGAGAAGAAATCCAGAGAAGTTGATTGGTACCCCCTCCCAGCCAAAGGTACATAATGGAGAAAAGGGATGAGACTAATTGTTTCCTAATGCAGAAAGTACACTGAAGATCAATGAGTAGGTGTTTAAGAGAGCTTTCAGTTCCCTACAAAGGAAAACCTTTTAGCATCAAATGTTGCTCTGCAACCAGTTAATCTCATGACAGTAAAGCCTCCAGTTACAAAGTAAGGGCACAGGCAAGTTGGTGAGGTTAAAGAAGATAACCAGCTCTCAGAATATTCTCCAACTACAGGACAGCTTGGTTGCCTAAAGAGGAATCACACACTTAGTATGGACCAAAGGTTCACAGAACACAAACCTCATCTCCCTCTCTAGTCTTTCTCTTTCCAAACCTCTGCTCAGTCAGTGGAGTTGCTTAGATCAAAAAGCCTCAGAATACTCTTTAACCCATCTTTTCCACCTTCCATACCCTGCCCCTAAGTTCCTGTGCTTTCAATATGGTCCATAATCCAGGACTTCTTACTACATCCATTACTACTTTCCTAATCAACCCTTAATCCTCACCTCTTCCTGGGTTTTTCTCATCATTGCTCTTCTACAGCATTCTCTCAACAAAGCATTCGGTGCTGCCACTTCAGGTATATATTTCATTCAGAGTAAAACTCAACGTCTTTAACTGATTATAATTCTCATCACTTTCCATCTGCAGCTACTGCTGAAGTTACTCTTTCCTGAATCATAGCAATGATACTCCTACCTCAGGACCTTTACAGTTGCTCTTTCTTCTGCCTCAAGTGTACCAGTGTACAAAGCTACCATCCTAGATACAGCATCATTCTTCTGGGAATTAGATCAGCTTTTCTCCTTTCAAAATGAACTATAACTAAAATCTTTAATAGAGCCCGAGAAAACATAGCTACCACTGGGTAGCCCTGAAAAAGACAACAAGCAGAGAAAGCTGGAATGTGGCACGCAAGCAGACAGAAAAGGAAGTCACCTATTTACAGGATTCTTTGGGGGACTAGTGTTAGGGCAACTATCCATGGGTTGTTCTAGTTTACACAGAGGAGAGCTAGTGAACACTATTCACATGATATTGTGCAGTGCAGCTTCTTCAGCCACTCAGCTTTTCAGGCTGGGAGATTAAGGGCACTCTTGGCTTGCGCAAACAGCTTCAGAGGGATGGAGATAAATGCATCTGATGTAAGAATTAATGTGAGTACCGTGAGGAAGGAGGGAAGTGGAGGGAAATCGGCCTGAGCCCAAGTGCCCTGAAGGAGAAGGTGCACTTTCCATGCTCATCTTTGGCCTCATTTCCTCTCACCTAGCTCTTGCAACCTCCCTCCCCTGTCTCAAGAGCAAGCTACTCCCTAAACACAAACCAAAGAGCTGGAGGGGCAGGAGCCACCTCCGAACCATGTGCCCTAGTTTAAGAAAACAAAGCCCTGGCTTTCTGGAACTCAAAGAGCAGCAAGGAAGACAAGTCCTTCTGTTTCTCAGCCAAGCAACCTTTCCTCTTAGAAGAAGGATTCTGGGCGATTCTGTTTCCATGACGGTTCAGTTGCAGGGGACTGATAGAACCCGAAGACGTGGAAACTGGCCCCTGGATTGAAAGAGCTGAGGCAGAACCCTGGCCAAAGGATTTGAAACGTTAAACACACAGTTCAGACACAGGCATCATTTGTCCAGCTTGTCTAGAAAAGTCAGAGGATGGTTTATCTGAGATAACAAGGAAAACTTGAGGGAGGGCCTGTTTCAGACGAGGAAGTGAGAGCTTTCAGCCCCAACATACAACTGCTTTGGGTAAAGTAGGTTGGCAATAGTCTTGGTTCTGCAGTAGAAGGACACAACTTCCCAGTTTAGGGTCATGGTCATGCTCCTGGGTCTCCTGTACAATCACATCTAGCCGTGCGCTGCACACAGGCTGGATGCTACACCTCTGGAATATCACGAGGATGGATATTTCTGGACTTAATTCTTCCCTTTCAAGTAAAACATAGTGGTCATTTGATAAGCTTCACTAATGAAACCACAAGCAATGAAAAAAATAGCCACTGGCTACAAAAAAAAATCTGAGGAGTAAACTTTTAAAGTTATCTTCAGCTCCTCCCCTCCCTCCACAAACACACACTCGGAATATCTACTAAGAATATACTACTTAAGTCAGGATCCCTGTGAATCTCTTCAGCAGTTAAATAATTCTCTCCTTTGATCCTTTGGGCAAATGCAATTTTATATAATGGACTGGCTGAAAACGAGGTGAAGTCAAACAGAATAATTTGCCCAAATGATAGCTGCTTGCCAATATTTATACACAGGAAAAATATCAAAGGCCATTTTCTCGTCCCATTTTTAACAGTCTAACCACAATATGCCCTTCTTTGGATGCTCTAAAGCACTTAGGTGGGGAGGCCATTTGAGAAAATGATTTCTCCAGGTGAGAAGCATCTCTGGGAAATAACATTTGCAAGAAATGTATCTTCCAGAGATCCAGAATAAGAAGACAAGGGAGACCCAGCGTCTTGGGGGGGGGGGGAGCAAATCACTTCACTGATAACTCCCTCCTCCAACCTAATTGGTCAAATGCCAAAATAAATGAACTTTTCAAAGTTAGGAGCTTCGCAACTTTCACTAGGGATAACTGCAGGTGCCGAGCCACGCATGGGCGAGCCCACCCACCACTGTTAGCTAGTTGAACTGCTGTGGATCCACCTTGGGAGGCCCAGGCCCAGGTCGCCTCTGTGTTTTGCGACCCACAGGGAACAGATTTAGGCTCCGCAGCCCAGGGCCCGTGACTCCACCCCACCCCCACCCCCCACCCCAGATCCTGTCCCACCCCAGATGGAGGAGAGAAAGTAGGCGCTAGGAGCGAGGAGGAGCAGCTCCCCGGTGGGATTCAGTAGCAGCCCGACTCCCAACTTCCCCAGAGTTTCCTCGGGGCTCCTCTTTCTTCTCGCTGCTCAGGAGGCCTCCGCGGCCTCCCCAGGCTCGGGGCGCAGAGCCCGGGAAGGGCTTAGGTGAGAGCTTGGGAGCCGCCCCCCACCTCCAGGAGCCCGAAGAGACCCAGTCGCGGGTGGCGGGCGTGATTTCCTCCACCTCTATCCCAGCCCACCCGGACTCGGCCTCCGCGCAGCAGACTCCGCGCGCGGGTCCCCGCCCGGTTCCAACACCGGGCTACCGTGCGCCGCTTTTTGATCCCCCCCGCCCCGCCCTCCATCTCCTAGCTCTGTGATCACTCCGCGCCCTCCGCAGGTCCGCAAAGATCTCAACCCAGGCCCCGATGTGGTGTGCGGTCCCCCGGCCCCGCCAAGTCCCATCCAGGGGCCCTTGCTCGCGCCCGGCGGCGGCGGCGCCCGGCGGCGGCACTCACCTGGGTCGCGGAGCCGAGGTCTCGCACGGTCCCGCAGGTGGTAGATGAAATCTTGGCAGCTGTCGTGCTCCAGGGCCCCGCGGGCACAGAGCTCGGCCAGCAGCTGCAGCGCTTGGTGACAGAGCGCGTCCCTGGCCCCGGGCATCGCCCCCCCGCATCCTCGGACCGCGCCGGGCAGGCGGGCGCGGGAGACAGCCCTCCGCCTGCCAGCTCACAGCCG